GGTCGCCGGGGGAGGAGGGAGAGGGGGCGAGGGGCAGGGGATGGGGGTGGGTGGGGGGAGGGAGCTGACCGTTGTAGAGGGAGGAGAGAGAGAGAGATGACTTCACTTGTAAACTGAAATCAATAAAGTCAGAAAATCCTTCTTCTTCCATTTCTTAGCTAATATTCATTCTGGCAGTTGCATGTAACAGTGGGAACTACTAATCTTGCGATTGAATAAAGAATTTCGTTGTTCTTTCATTTCCGCATCATTATTACAAATTGTATTGGATTAAGGCATAACAATTTGGTATCAGAGCAATTTCTTGGCGCCATGACTATTACAGAAACGAGAGCTAAAACAACTGAGGAGAATGTTAAAAAATTGGAGAATCAGTTACAAAGTTACATGAATGAAACTAACAAAAAACTGGAGTCCAATGACTCTAAGATGGATGATCTGAATAAGAAGTTTGATGTAGTGATGGAGAAACTCTTTTCACACAAGGACAGCATCTTGGGAGTCCACCAGCTGATGGTCTTCAATTGGAAGGTTCTGGAAGCCGCGTGAGAAGAGCAGATCCAATGGAGCAGCAGACTGGACGGAACTTGGTGAGCAATTTTGCTTCTAGAGTGGAATTTCCACACTTTGAGGAAGGAGACCCACGATCATGGCTGCGCAAATGTGAAAGGTATTTTCATTACAATCATATCACAAATCCACAACAGAAATTAGAAGCAGTTGTCCTACATCTTAATGGGAGAGCTGAATCTTGGTATTTTTCTTATCAATTGAGTAGAGGAATTGTGAGATGGTCAGATTTTATTGAGGAAATTTGCAAGAGATTTAATGATTCAGATAATAGTAATTTGAAGTTGCTGGGGGAATTTAAAAGGGTAGAACAAAAGGGGACTGTCAATGAGTACCTAGAAAGATTTGAAGACTTGAAGGTTTGGGTGTTGATAAAGTATCCCGCTATACCTGAAGAATTCTTTTTAGGGTTCTTTATTGAAGGTTTAAAAGAGGAGATTAGACACACTGTAAAGATGCTTGACCCCTACTCCTTAAGTCATGCTGTAGAGAAGGCTATACATAAGGAGAATTTGATTGAAACCATGGCTAAGAAGAATAGATTTAGTGGGGTGAGGAGTGTAGGACAGTATCAGGGCCCTAACCCATCAGCAGTGAATAAGACTATGGGAAACTCACAAAAGGAAGGTAATTCTAATACAGCTCTAACAGGGACTAAGCTGTTTGAAGCTAGAAAGGCCAGGGGTGAATGCTACAAGTGTGGGGAAAGGTATTTCCCAGGCCATGTGTGCAAAAATAGACAGCTGAATACATTATCTGGGAGTACTGAGCAAGGGGAGGAAATTATAGAGGTAAGCACAGAAAGTGAAGTTATTCATAATGAGGTGATGGAAGAAGTGTTGGATGAGGCCATCAGTCTCAATGCACTTTCAGGGACTATAACCTCTACTACCATCAAGCTTAAGGGGTTGTATGGGAAGAACATGCTGACTATACTAGCAGACAGTGGAAGCACCAACGGTTTCATAGCTAATGAGACTGCCAAACACCTAGGGTGCCTAGTTAAAGATGATGTACCTATGAGGGTAGTTGTGGCTAATGGGGGTTACCTGATGAGTTACCAATCTTGCCCTCAATTCAGTTGGAAGACTCAAGGAATAGAATTTGAACACAAATTAAGGGTATTAGATATTGGAGGGTGTGATGTGGTTCTAGGGGTAGACTGGATGAGGAAACATAATCCTATTTTGTTTGACTTCATTGAATACAAGTTACAAGTGAGTGTAAAGGGAAAAAGAGTTGATCTCAAGGAATATTCTAAAGAAGAGAAGCTCCATAGCATGACTGCTAGTGGAGTGAAACAACTTCTGAAGAAGGGAAAGGTACTGTGGGCTCATTTGTTCACAATTACTGCTGGAAATAATGAATTACAGGGAAGCATACCTCAGATGATCAATGGAGTGCTAGGAGAATTTCCAGATGTTTTTGAAGAACCAAAGACTTTGCCACCACAAAGGAGCCATGATCATTCCATTCCTCTCAAATCTGATGCAACAGCAGTAAGCATTAGACCTTACAGGTATAATTACTTCCAAAAAAATGAAATAGAAAAGCAAATCAATGAGATGTTAAATAGCGGCATTATACAGCCTGGTCATTCTCCTTTTTCATCACCTGTATTACTAGTGAAGAAGAAGGATGGAAGTTGGAGGTTTTGCATTGATTATAGAGAGTTGAACAGAATGACTATAAAGGATAAATTTCCTATTCCTTTAGTAGATGATCTGATGGATGGACTTAAGGGATCTTGTATATACTCCAAGATTGATCTAAGGGCTGGGTATCACCAAATTAGGATGGAGAAGTCTGACATCTATAAAACTGCATTTAGGACACACCTGGGCATTATGAGTTCAAAGTTATGCCTTTTGGCTTAACAAATGCCCCTGCAACTTTTCAGAGTCTAATGAACCATGTTTTTAGACCCTTTCTAAGGAAGTTTGTCCTAGTTTTCTTTGATGACATCTTAGTTTACAGCCCAACAGTGGACAGTCATGTAGACCATCTCAGACAAGTGATGCAAATATTACAGAAGGAAAAACTTTATGCTAAACTTTCTAAATGTGCCTTTGGGCAAGACGGGGTGGAGTATTTGGGTCATATAATCTCTGGTCAAGGGGTAGCTACTGATCCTGCCAAGATAGAATCCATGGTAAATTGGCCTACACCTAAGTCAATCAAGTCACTTAGGGGATTCTTGGGTCTTACAGGATATTACAGAAGATTTGTGAAGTCCTATGGTATTATTAGTAGTGCCATTGACTGAACTACTTAAGAAGAATTCATTCCAATGGAATGAAGATGCAGAAGAGGCCTTTCAAAATCTGAAAAAAGCCATGTCCACAGCACCTGTATTGGCCTTACCAGATTTCACCAAGGCCTTTATTGTGGAGACAGATGCTTGTTCCACAGGGATGGGAGCTGTACTAATGCAAGAAGGCAGACCTATAGCTTACTTAAGCAAAGCTTTAGCTATCAAGAATAGGGGATTATCTACCTATGAGAAGGAGTTCATGGCAGTCTTAGCAGCAGTGGATAAATGGAGGCATTACTTACAATGTGGTCATTTCATTGTAAGAACAGATCTTCAGAGTCTTAAATACTTATTAGAGCAAAAGATCACCACAGTTATGCAACAGAAAGGTCTCACTGAACTCTTGGGATTAGATTATGAAATTCAGTACAAGAAAGGCTCTGAAAACAGGGCAGTTGATGCCTTGTCCAGGAGACATGAAGATTCTGATAGCTCAACCTTACTGGCTATCTCCACTACACAGCCTACTTGGTTAGAGGAGATCAACCAATCTTATGAGGATGATCCTAGGCTACTCAGATAATGGCTGAATTGGTAATAGCTCCTCAAGAAAATTCACACTATACATTACAACAAGGGATAATCAGGTACAGACAGAAGATATATGTGGGGCAGGGTAATACAATGAGGAGGAAGGTGTGGGAAGCACTACATCAATCTCAAGTTGGGGGACACTCTGGGCAACAAGGCACTTACAAGAGGTTGCAGATGAATTTTTATTGGCCTAATATGAAGGCAGACAGTTGCAAATGGGTCAATGAATGTGACATTTGTCAAAGGGTGAAATCAGAAAATGTGCACTACCCTGGGTTACTACAGCCTCTTCCCATTCCTGACCAAGCATGGCAAGATATATCTATGGATTTTGTAGAAGGCCTTCCTACTTCAAACCAGAAGAATGCAGTCTTAGTGGTGGTTGATAGGTTCACTAAGTATGGCCATTTTCTGCCTCTTAAACATCCCTTTACAGCCCAGGATGTGGCAGAATTGTTTCTCAAGGAAATTTATAGGTTGCATGGTATCCCTAGATCCATAGTGTCTGATAGAGATCCAGTTTTCACTAGCCATTTTTGGCAGCATCTATTCAGATCTATGGGCACCAAACTCAATTTGAGTTCAGCTTATCACCCTCAGAGTGATGGGCAGACAGAGAGACTCAACAGGTGTATGGAAACCTACCTCAGGGCTATGGTCTTTGATAATCCTAAACAATGGGTTAAGTGGCTACATATGGCGGAGTGGTGGTACAACACTAACTATCATAGTGCCCTCAAGATCACACCTTTTGAAGCATTATATGGGTATGCACCTCCCCAGCTACCCTTGGGTTCATTACCTAATTATGGGCAGACTATAGCACAAACGAGTCTAGACACACGACAACATATGATACAGACACTCAAGGACAATTTAATTCAAGCGCAATCACGCATGAAGTTCTTTGCTGACAGATCTAGGTCAGAGAGAATTTTGGAGGTTGGGGATCAAGTCTATCTTAAGCTACAGCCGACAGACAATCATCAATAGAGGTTCGAAAGAATGTCAAGCTGTGTGCTCGTATTTTGGTCCTTACAAAATCTTGAAGAAGATTGGGACAGTAGCTTACCTCTTGGAACTTCCTGAAGGATCGCAACTCCATCCGGTATTCCATGTATCCCAGCTTAAGAAGCGCATAGGACCAATGATCGAACCTCAGTTTCAGCCTCCCATGTGCGATAACAACGGTCACTTGCTGATTCAACCGGTGGTCATCTTGCAGCGGAAGATGGTCAAGATTGATAATGGGGTCGGAGTTAAAGTGTTGATTCAGTGGGCAAATCTTAGGGAAGAGGATGCTACGTGGGAAGATTGGGGGTATATCAAACATCAATTTCCGGAGTTTGTGGCTCAACAAGCTCAACATCGACCTTGAGGACAGGGTCATTCTCGAAGGGGTAGGGAATGTTATGAATTGGGGAAACTGAAGGGATAAGGTGGGTGATAACCTAATGAGGAGTTGGGCCATATAGCAGGCTGGGCCATTTAGCAGGCGGTAGATTGAGCATTGGGCCAAGTAGTACAAAGCCCAAAGTCCACGACAGCCCAAGAGAAATGAATAAATACAGTTAGATGGAATGTTAGTAGTCAGTTGATAATTTTCAGTTACAATTCCACTATCTTCTCTCTAATTCTTCTTCTTCTTCTTCATTTCTTCTTCTTCCATTTCTTAGCTAATATTCATTCTGGCAGTTGCATACTAATCTTGCGATTGAATAAAGAATTTCGTTGTTCTTTCATTTCCGCATCATTATTACAAATTGTATTGGATTAAGGCATAACACAATTATTCTTATTAAAACTAAAATTAAAGACAAGCAGTCAAATATCAATTTGTTAGGATTTGAAATGTAGGAAGAAGCCATTGGATTGGAATTTAATCAAAGGATCTCCTATGGAATAGTAATATATGTAGAGTGTCTCATCACTTCTTTCTCCAACCAGATACCAAAACGTACTTTCCAAATTAGCTTATTTTGAGAAATATTTTGAAGAAAAAATAATTTTTGTTTGACTGATCAACTTACCTTTTGAGCAACAATTTGGGTTGGCAAAGCTTTTCAAAAATTGTTTTTAAATATCAAATTACGAATAAGGACATAAAGAAATGTACTTAATAATTAATATTATATAAATATATAAATAATTATAAATATTTATTATNTTCCGATCTAAATATATCAAAAAATCATCCAACAAATATGAAAATTTATCCCAAAATTCATTATATATTACTTAATAATTTAAACTAAGTAAAATTAATTTGGTATATACAATATTTTACTAAGGGTATTTTTGGTAGGAAGAAAATCCAAAATTATTTTTGTTTCTGGGAAGAAACTACTTTTTTCTGCTTCTCAAAAACTATTTTTGCTTCTCAAAAATACTTTTTTCCCCAAAAAAGCTTGGTCAAACACCTCAAGTTAAGAAAAAAGCACTTTTATTTTTAGAGAAAAACACTTTTGGCTTTAAAAGAATCTTGGCCAAAGAGGCTATAAGACTACTCTACTGTGGGAAGGACAGATGATTCATTTAAATTCATAACTTTTCATCCAGAGCCTATATATATATATATATATAAAGACGTATTAAAAACTCAATCAAAATTAAATCTTAACGCATTATTTTAACAAATATTAAAAGTTAAAATTATTAGATTTAAATTTTGAATCCACCTCTAATTATGTGTAGGTGGTTCTCAATTGGACTCAAAGTTGTTTGCCAATGAAAAAAAAACTATTTTATAAACTGGCGAGGGATAGAAGTTGTGATAATTTTCTCTTTTTCTTGAACTGATAAGAATGCTTCCCCATAAATAAAGTCCAAGAAACAATTTCTAGTACAACAAAAATGAAGTCACAAAGTTTTCCTGTTACATAAAGAATATACTTCAACAACTTACTAGCAAAAACATGTTTCTTGATGAAAGCAGATTCTAAAAATTATGATATATGTATCTGGTATCTTACTCTGACCTAATTAGCCAACAAAATAAGGATGTTTTTAGCTCATTAAACACCCAGCAGACGTTCATTGTTTCCGACCTGCTCCTGTTTTCTTCGATATGAGGTGAGCTCAAGCAGGAAGTTCGAGTTTGGTGTTATTCTTCCAGCTGCAACCGATTATGACCAATGAGGTTATAACGTTACAAGAATGTAGCCTGTATGTAGTTTTACATGAAAATGCTAATTATTTTACCTTTGGAAGTAGTAATAGAAGAAATCAGCATAAAGCGCTGTCTGCACGAGGCCAGCAATCCACGCTGCAATAACAAAGACCAATGAAGCATGGAAAGTTGTCATTTTCATAACAAAGCGCATGAAAGGTTTGATCTATATACTCGCATTCTTGTATCTATGCAAGCAATAAAGGAAGAAAAAAAGGGACTAAAAATAAAAGGTTAGTTCATACTTATCCAATGTACAAAATGTGGTTCTGTGAAGTAGCGATATACCCAGTTCAAAATGTAGAGTGACCGATATGCACTGCAACCAAGAACCAATAAAACAGGTCAGGTAATGGATATCTAAATTGACATGACTTCCATAATCTATATTGCTCGGTTCCTCAAAAAATGCAACGTGTTCGGTAGCATTTTTTAGGACCCCAGCAACATAGTCCAAAATACCATTAAAAACTATATGACGAGCGAGATAAAAGGAAGGTTGCTAATCCCACGCCTACAAAATTTTCTAGGCTCCTCTTAATCCAAGAGCCTCTCGCGGTTTGTGGATGGTGATAATATAACACATCCCGTTGGCTGACAAGCAATATGTTCATTGGCCAAAGGTGGTTTTTGTTGAATTGCATGAACCATGTCATCTCCTTAACCGGTAAAAATGGGATCACTTTGTTTATTTACTTGTGTCTTTAACCATCACATATAGCAAAATATTTGTTACATGGACCAAGTCCAAGCACGTGGCTTCCTTTTATGTGAGGCAGTTAGACAGAGACTCGAATGAAGGAAATCTGTCATTCTAATATACCATGATGAATTATGACTTACCAAAAAAAATACCTTGATGTATCAAGTGACCATCTTATCTACTATCTTAATTATGTATTTAACCGGTAACAGGTCATGTGCTAGAACAAGAAGAATTGCTTCAGGGTCTGAATGAAGACAATGATCTGGAATGGGATGGATCCAACTATATGTGCCTAAATCATTCTCCTGGAATAAGTTCTTGGGTGCCAAAAATCCAACATACGCACTAAAGATGACCTTATAAGCAAATGAAAACAAAGTAATTCACAATCCACTTCAAAGAAAATATACACAACCGGAGGATGTACAAGGACTTTATCAGGCTTCATCATTCTGAACATGTTTAAGATTTTAAAAGGGCGAACCCGCACTCTTTGATTTCTTAGCAATCGCAGCTCCCTCACTCCATCCCCCC